AAACAGCCGCGCACCTTCTTTTCCTTCTTACCGAACGAAAGGCCGGGAGTGTTCTTATCCACAACGAAGCACGAGATGCCCTTGGGTCCTGTCGTAAATAATGAAAGTTGTAATAATTTTGTGTAATATTATCGAAACCATAAAATGATGAAAAATCAACTTACCGCTTTGTCCGGTGCGAGCCATGACGATGTAGACGTCGCTGGCGCCGCCTCCACTGATGAAGGCCTTCTCGCCATTGAGCACGTAGTCGTTTCCGTCCTTGGCCGCCGTCGTCTTCAGCGCCGCAGCGTCCGAGCCGGCTCCCGGCTCCGTGAGGCAGTACGACGCGAACTTCTACTTCCGATCGGTTGATGACGATGGCGACGACAACCACGCAACACGTTGAGAGTGAGCGCCCCTGTTTTCTTCATGTGTTTTGGACAGGTCTTCGACGACGCACCTCCATGGAGAGCAGAGTCGGCAGATACTTCTCGCGCTGTTCTTGGTTGCCGTACTGGTCCACCACCCAGGCGCACATGTTGTGGATCGACAGGTAGGCCGTGGTCGATGGGCACGCCGTGGAGAGGGCCTACGGTGTGTCGTGTGTGGTTATTGTGCCGCCATGCTCTGCTCGGTTAACTGAAGGCAACACACGCAACACGCGACACGACACACGACACACGATAGAACACGCGTACCTCGAAAACGATGGCGGCGTCCTGGCGGGAGAGCCCGCTACCTCCGATGTCGTCCTTGATGTAGATTCCTGCACGCAACGGCGTACATTCATATTGTGCGCTGCCCAAGAGCGAAGTAGGGGCAGAAGGCGTGCGGTACCAGCGAAGCCGAGTTCAGCGAGCTTGCGGAGGGTGTCCTCGGGAAAGATCTCCTCCTCGTCCCACTTCTCGGCATGCGGCAGCATCTCCTGCGGTGCCAAGTCCATGAAGGGCGTTTTCGTATTTATTATTTATTTTTAATATATACAAATTTGTTATTCTAGACGGGGGCACCTACCTTGCGGGCAAAGTCAAGGGCCACTTGCTGTATCTCCCTCTGCTCATCGGACAGACCCACGGACACTGCCGATTGATTTTAATCAAAATTGCATAATTAAAATGATTTAATTCAACTTGAATTAAAGTAGAGGGGGTCAAGATTGAATAACGTACTGTCCGGGATGTAGGTGCTGTAGCCGCAGCGGCGCGGCAAGATGGAGGACAAAGCGGCGAAGCCTGGGTGGGCCTGGCCAGCGCCGGAAATGGCCGAAAATCGAGGGGCGGACACCATCGCCGACCTGGTGGCCGAACGCAGGACCAACGGCACGGCAGTGCTTCGCCTCACGGTGGCAGCGGAAGCGGACCTCGCGGTAGCAGTTGCAATGGCAGAGCGCTTCATCTAATCAGAGGTTGTACAAAAGAGCCGCTGCGTTTGTGTTCGTGCTCGCCGATGGCGCAGGATGGCCTACCGCCCCCGGAAAATGCCGGCCACCAAGATTCGTAACAGTTTCGTTCTGTTTTGAACAACACTAAACTAAAAACGAAACGAGAGAAAAAGATGTCCCGGACCGCCACCTTACGTCGGCCACGCAGCACTTTGCTGTGTTGTGCTGAGATCAAGAATCGCTGGCGAGGACACATAGATCTACACAAAGAGAAACTACACGCAAGAGAAGAGAATGGCGATGGATGAAAGAAAGCAGAAGGCGCTGCACGATTTCAGGGCCAAGCTACTGCAGCACAAGGAAGTGAACGATCGAGTTCGTTCGAGTACGTCTGCGCCATCAAATCTACATTCTCCCTCAGCTCCACAACAATCGCCTTCCATCTCAACCCTAGCTGGTTGAATCATGTGCTTATCGTTATCATTACCTTGGCATTGCTCAGTGAGGGAGGACTTCAAGACGCAGAAGAGAGCCTATGACAAATCTGAGGATGATCTCAAGGCTCTCCAGAGCGTGGGTCAGATCATCGGTGAAGTGCTGCGCCAGCTTGACGATGAGAAGTGTACGCCTCCCCTCGACACTCGAATTCGGCGTTCTACACCTCATTTCGCTCCAAAATGCCTGATCTTTTTGTGTCGCTCATCTAACCCTCGTTTGTAGTCATTGTCAAGGCCTCGAGCGGTCCTCGCTATGTGGTAGGTTGCCGCAAGCGCGTGGAGAAGAAGAAGCTTATCGCTGGCACCCGTGTGGCTCTCGACATGACCACGCTCACCATCATGAGGGTACGTCGTCGTCACCTCGACGCTGAAGTCAGTCGTTCTCCATCACAGCGCGCACAAAGCCTCACGGTCGTGTTGTGGTGCATGATTAGGCGCTGCCCAGGGAAGTCGACCCTGTGGTGTTCAAGATGTTGTCGGAGGACCCTGGCGAGGTGTCCTACTCCTCCATCGGTGGTTTGAACGAACAGATTCGCGATCTTCGTGAGGTACAGCTTCGTCTGGCCTTTGCGTTTCATGCTCTACACTTCATCTTTGCTGTCTACAAGCGCTCGAGCTGTCCATTGGCTCACCGATCTGACGTACGCGCAGACGATCGAGCTGCCCCTCACGAACCCTGAGCTCTTCCTGCGCGTGGGTATCAAGCCCCCGAAGGGAGTGCTCCTCTACGGTCCGCCCGGTACCGGCAAGACCCTGCTCGCCAGAGCCATGGCGCACAACGTGGAGGCCAAGTTCATGAAGGGTACGCGCACATCCCCCACTGTGGCGATGTGTTTCTTGCCATTACTCACGCGCCTGGCCACTCCCCCTGACCACCGGCAGTCGTGTCTTCGGCCATTGTTGATAAATACATCGGCGAGAGCGCGCGTCTGATCCGAGAGATGTTCGGTATGTGATTCTTCCTGTACTCCTCCGCCTCTTAATTACCACCGTGGGGCTGTTTCTCACCTATCGTGGGGGTGTCTACCGCGGTTCCTCTGCGCAGGCTATGCCCGTGAGCACCAGCCGTGCATCATCTTCATGGACGAAATCGACGCTATTGGAGGCAGGCGTTTCTCGCAGGGTACCTCCGCCGACAGAGAGATTCAGAGGACGCTCATGGAGGTACCGCTACACTACCATCCCACTGGTCAAGTCCCACAACACGGGCCGCATGTAGGTCTAATCGCATTCTCTCCTGCAACACGCGCACAGCTTCTCAACCAGATGGACGGTTTCGACGAGCTGGGAATGGTGAAGATCATTATGGCCACCAACCGGCCAGACGTACTCGACCCAGCCCTGCTTCGCCCCGGTCGTCTCGACCGTAAGATCGAGATCCCTCTGCCCAACGAGTCGGCGCGTCTGGACATCATCAAGATCCACTCCGAGTCGATCACCAAGCACGGCGACATCGACTTCGAGTCGGTGGTCAAGCTTTCCGACGGCTTCAACGGCGCCGATCTGAGGAACGTCGTCACGGAGGCCGGCATGTTCGCCATCAGGGCCGAGAGGGACTACGTCATCAGCGAAGACTTCATGAAGGCCGCGCGCAAGCTCGCCGAGAACAAGAAGCTCGAGAGCAAGCTCGAGTACAAGAAGCTCTAAAGGGGAAGAGGAAGGTCAACCCCAACCTCAACACCGTTACCTCTTCTTCTTCTTGTGCTTCGTCGGGTCATGGTAGTAAATACTTGTTCATCCTCTTCCTCTTCTTTCTTGAAAGAAAAAACGAAGAGCGAAAGAAAGAGAGGAAAAATCGAAAAGAGAGCGAGAGCTAACTTCGTGGCCCAGGATACAACACAGCTTGCAACCAACCCCCCCCCACCAAACAAACCGCACACGTCTTCATCTTCATCTTTCACATTCTCTTGTGAAATCCAACAACGGACAAGGCGATAGATGGAGTTATTTCCGCTGATACGGGCGGGCAAGGGCGCCAAGGTGCGAGCCTTGCTGGAAGATGACAAGGGCGACCACAAGCGCGACGTCAACGTCCGCAACGAAAAGGGGCAGGTGCGCCGCCCATCTCATCTACAACCCTGTGCATCCACTTAGCTATTTTTTTTATTGACACATCTTTCGGGCGTGGTCAGACGCCACTCTACTGGGCCTGCGAGCTCAAGTCCGATTCTGGCGTCGAGCTGGCCGCTCTGTTGGTACTCCCTCGCGCCCGTTGTGCTTGACTGACCTCAGGTTGTCTTGATTACGTTGTGCTGGTGAGCGACTACACTCATTGTTGGCTGCGCCTCGTGCTCTGCGATCAGATCAAGCACGGCGCGGACGTCAACTTGCCCGAAGACCACGGCTTCACGCCTCTGGTACGTGCACCACGCCTTTTGCTGCCGTGTGCTCTGCTCCTCTCACTGCAGTGAGAGTGACTGACGCCTCGGATCAAATGGCGCGCGCACAGCATCTGGCGGCGTACATCGGCAACGTCAGCGTGGTCCGACTACTACTCGAGGTATTACAGCTTCCAATCACTCGTGTGCACATCTCTGGCCTTCATCATCATCATCATCTTCTTCTTCTTCTTCACCTTCTTCTTCTTCTTCGTTCTACTGCGCTGCAGTCGGGGGCACTGGTCAACAAGGGCAACAAATCACAGAGCACCGCGCTTCACCTCGCCTCGCGAAACGGGTACACTCTTGATGCCACACTTGTGTGCGTGTGTGCGTGTGTGCGTGTGCGTGTGCGTGTGCGTCGCAGGCTGCATGTTGCTTACGTACCTCGCGTGCCTCGACCTTGAACTGACAATTGTGATCGACGCTTCCAGACACGAAGCTGCGGTGGCGCTGCTCATTCAGCACGGCGCGGACGTGCGCGCCAAAGACGACAAACTCAAGGCACAGCCCCATTCCCACTCCTTCGCCCAACATTGGTGGGTGTCCACGCATTGAAGTGCGTGTGACATATGGCGCTCGCGAGCACCACGTAACCCGTCATCATCACCCAACTGCAGATTCCTTTGGCCTACGCCAAGGACGCACAGATTTCCAAGCTCCTCCAAGGTGCTGCCTTCGTGATTGGACACATTCATTGCTTCGTTTAAAAACGATCAAACAATTCAGTCCAGGTGGGTGGTTCGCTCACTGCTCTGGCAAAACAAAAAAGACGCGATGCTCGTGGAAGGCAGGCAATCGCGGGCGCGTTCGGTGGCTTCGGCGATATCCAGGGAAGAGCTTGCGACGAGCAGCCAAAGCGACGACGAAGCGCGAAGTACGCCCTCCCGCCTCCTCAGCTATCGTCTTCGCTTCTTTCTTTCGTCGTCGTCTTCGCTTTTCCTCGCCTAACAATGCAACACGAAAAGAGAAAGCGCGAAAGCGAGAGCTGAAAAAGAAGGACGCACTCCTGCGGCGGCCCAGCAAGCGTGAGCTCAAGATGAAGGACCACGACGACGAGGAGACCAAGGAGTACGAGGAGGAGCTGGAGAAGCTCAAGTCGCTCGTCGGCATCCTCAGCGACCGACTGGCGCGCGAGGAGCGCATCACAGAGAGCCTCCAGCGCGAGCGGGACGAGGCCCGGCGGCGCGGCCTGTGCGAGCGGTGCCGCCAGGCGCGGCGCGACACCGTGCTCGTGCCCTGCATGCACCTGGCCTTCTGCTGGGACTGCTGCGGGCGGATGGCCATGAAGTGCCACAAGTGTGGCGTGGGCGTCGAGGGCATGATGCGCGTCAATGTGGATTGATTGGTGATGATGATGATCGCTGGCTGCAGTGCACGTCAGTCTCGATACCTGTCCAGCGGGCACCAGTTCAAACCCAGAGCCTGCTGTGTGGTGCATAGCAACAACATTTCCCAATGTTCCCAATGGAAGAAAAGTGCGTGTAGCCATTTATTTGCTGTATTGTTTGAAACAACATCAAGCAGCGGGCACAGGGTAGTTGAGCAGGTACCACTTGGCGGGCTGCACGTGCGGGCTCAGCTCACGCAGGGTCATGTCGGTGCCCTGGCGCTTCAGGACGAACTCCACCGCACGCGACACGCCGGCCTCCACGCCCGCCAGCTCGTGCCCCTCGACAGGGAAGGTGTGCTTCACCCCCGCCAGGCGGTAGGTGAGCGCGCCGCGATTGAGATAGACCAGCGGGATGCCGGCCCGCAGAAGCCTGGTCAGGACGTGGGAGAAGGTCTCGGGGAAGAGCGAGAGGAAGGTGATGATGTGGATCTTGTTCTCCTGCAGTATCGACTCGAGCCTGTGGTTGTCGTACTTGTCGTGGAAGATGATGGGGCTGGTGCAGTTTTCCCTCCAGGCCCGCGAGCTGACGCCGAACTGGTGGTAGCGGAGGGTGAGCGGGCTGTGCTTCTCCTGCAGTGCGGTGCTCCCCGACAGGCTGCAGAACAGGCCGCCGCCCTTGTAGCCGTCGAACTGGCCCACGAAGGCGATGTTGATCGTGTTGTTCTCCACGGGCGCCACGAAGTAGCGGTCGCTGTGGGCGAGGAGGCAGCTGTGCGGCACCAGCTCTATCGTGTTCTCGTCCCAGCGCTTCTCGCCGATCTTGGAGCGGTAGTAGTCGTACACCGAGCGGTCGGGGAAGGTCACCTTGTCCACCGCCCTGAACAGCTCCGTCGTGTTCTTCACGTTGCCCGGGTCGGGCTCGACCGTCTCCAGCACGCTCAGCTCCGGGTTGGGATTCTCGGGGAAGAGCCACTGGTAGTCGTGAATGGTGAGCAGGATCGGGACCTTGCGAACGCGATAGGTCTTCACGAGGCCGAGGATGCCCCAGCGCGGACCCTCGCGCACCATGGCGCTGTGGATGTGCAGCAGCACGATGTTGGGCGCGGGCGGCGGCAGGTTGCTGTCCTGTATCCAGGTGTGGTTGTACTCGGGGAACATTTTGAAGAGGTCCCGCGTGAAGACCCCGGTCTCTCCGCCGGTGTGGCCCAGGTGGACGACGGTCTTGCCCGTGTGAGGCTTGAACACGCGCTTGACGGCCATCAGAGCGTCGTAGCCGTCGATGTCGTTGGGCTCGAGCGCCGACTGCTCGTTCCATTCGTTCCACGAGGTGAGGAACACAAAGTGCTCCGGCCCGGTGACGGTGGCGCCGTCGTTGGCCGCCAGGTCGTACACGCGCCGCAGGTGCCGCTCGAACCCAAGATCGTGGAGTTGTGGTAGACCATGGGGTAGGCGTAGTGGTTGCCGTTGGTCCAGTTGCGCCGCGGGGCGTTGCTCCAGCGGAGGAAGGCGCCGCGGAAGAACTGCTGCAGGCCGGCCACCCGCGGGAAGGCGCGCTGTTCGGCAGCCGCCCACAGGGTCGGGGTGTCCAAGAGCTGAAACCCGGTGAATCGACCTGTCTTCTCGCGGGGAGCATTCCACTGACCCGAGTACCCCGTGGAGAAGCCCGGCTCGAACTGGGCGTAGCCGGCGAAGGTGGGCGAGTCGGCCCAGACGTAGGGTCCGTTGAAGCGCATGAAGTGGATGCCGGGCAGGCCGGCCTCGACGGCCAGCTCCTGCCACAGCTCCATGATGCCGGCGATGGCCTGGGCATCTTTGGGGTCGACGCGGTAGATGAGGAACACGGGCCGGTCGTTGATGCGGATGTAGAGCTTGTGGCGGAACATGGGCAGCAGGTGGTTGAAGTGCTTGATGTTGCCCTCGCGGTCAGAGTAGTCCTGCTCGAGGATGACCTCGTTGTCTGCTCCCGTGCCAGGTGCGAGTCCAGTTGGAGTTGGCCCAGCAGAGGACGAACGGCTTCCTGGGCTCTCCGTCCTTGAGCATGCGCTCCACCGGTAGGTTCATCACTGCACAACAACCAACGAAATATTTCCAAGTGTTAGGGGGTGACTTCGATTTAGACAAGGGTAGTCCAATATGCAGAAAGTAATATCTATCTAACGATTATATGAAGATGTTTCCGACATCGAAAAGGTGTTCTAGAGGCTGAAGGGGGCGGTTTTGACATACCGGGGCGGTCCTTGAACCAGAAGTGGTAAAAGCAGAAGCCGTGGATGCCGTACTGGTCGGCCAGCACGCGCATGAACCGCCGGTGGTCAAAGTCCAGCAGGTTGTAGTAGCCCAGGTCAGGGTGGGGCTTGTAGACGATCTGGTCGATCACGCGGCGCGGCATGGGCCGCAGGAGGGTCCACTCGGTGAAGTTGACGCCCCAGAGGCGGTCATTTTCGGGGATCGGGTGGAACTGTGGGAAGACGATGGCCAGGGCCAGCGGCGTGAGCTTCTTCGCCCCGACTCCTGCTGGGCCGGCTGGTGCACCGGCTCTCGTCGTGGTCGAGGGAGACGAAGATGGGGAAGATGCGGGAGAAGACGGCGGGGGTGGTGGTGGAGGTGAAGATGGAGCAGACGACGGGGATGGCCGTCGAGAGGAAGAAGAAGTTGGAGAGAGAGACGGAGAGGGAGAAGAAGAGGAAGAAGAAGAGGGAGAAGGAAAGGGAGAGGTGGGCACGAACAAATTCACCAGGACAGTGCGAGAGTCCTCTGTCTGCCATAGCGTGTAGAAGGTGACCGAGGAGGTGAAGATGGTGATGAGCGCCAGCAGGGCAACCGCACCTCTCATCCTTCTTCTCCAACTAGAGAACAACACAGCAGACTGAAGAAGCCGCGTTCCAAGGGGTGTCCCCTCCTATACCCAAAAGGAGAGGCCAGATCTTTATTTGGAAAACTATAAGTTTGTCCTCCCAACCGGAAAGTGTGGAAGAAAAGAGAAAAAAGTGCTTTTTGATTTGTTTTTCAGGTGTCTCTTTTTTCCCAACACTGTGTTGTCCCCTTTTGATGAGCACCCAGTTTGAAGGTAGAGTGTGCTGGGCCATGCAGCACCAGGGGCAGTGAGCACATGGTGGAGATGATGGGGCAGGATAGATAGCAAAAGCAGAGAACAGCCAAACTGGAGGTAACATGATTGATGATGACACAATGAAGCAGTTTATAGGTTGAGATAAAGGTGGAGATCCTTCCATACTGAGAGATAGGTACATGGAAGGGGAGGATGATGTCTGTGGATCAGTCCATAATCAATGACATGCAGTTGCAGCTGAGAAAAATGAATGTGCAATAAACAGAAGAAGTGCAAAATTGATTATGCCAGCTTATGAAACTGTGCTTGAATCTCCAAACTGGTTTGGGTATTAGCTAATTACAGATAGGTGAAGTGGTGAAGTGAGGTGGTGATGAGGTGAGTGGAGTGGACATGAGTTCACATGGTGATGACACGGTCGAAGTCAATGACGGCAGCCCACTTGAGTGCGCCCAGCAGGAGGAGCATCATGGTTTGGCCCGACGCATAGCACAGAAGCGAAGGCACAACTGCGGAAGGCATCATCGATTCCGCCGACCCCTGCAGGCGCTCTGCCAGCTCGTCGGGCATCACCACCCCTCGGCTCATTCCGTTGGTAACCTGCCGCCAGGTGTAGTCTGAGTACCGCATGGACGGCGCAGGGTGTGAGCTAAGTAGTACCTTGGCCAGGCCGGCGGGGTGGAGGAAGTGTTCGGTGTCGATGGCCAGCGCGCAGGCGCAGCAGAGGGTGACCAGAAGAGCAGCGGAGGCGATGGTAGTGGCGGTCTTCATGTCGTGTTGGTGGTTGTGTGTAGGATGGTGGTTGTTGAGGGTTGTAGAGAGCCGGGCTGAGTTTTGACGATGATCCCCACCATGTGAAGGGTTGAGGGGCAAGATCGGACTCAAACCCAAGAGAGGAGGCAAATCGGGAGAAATTCCGCCAACTCCCAGTTTGAATCGCTGCATGTGCCCTTGCGAAATTTCACCTACCGTTGCGTTTGCACCATTTATTTTTCGTTTATTTATTTATATTTATTTTGCGTTATTATTGGGCCTGTCTGGTCGCCCAGAACCTCGCGATCTCCTCCTTGAGTTCCCCGCTCAGGTCCATGTAGCTCCACGTCAGCTTGATGCCCTGCAGCGTGTTCTCATTTTCTACACACGCAGAAGAGACCACGAATTATGAGCGCAACCACTCAACAGGTTGGTTGGTTCTTGTTGTAGGTTGGTTGGTTGGTTGGTTGGTTGAAGTTGGTTGGTTGGTGGGTGCGTACCTGTGATGAAGTGAAGACACTTGCGGCGCAGATTGAGCGCGTTGGCGGTGTCGGCCAGGGCGAAGAGACACGACACGTTCTCAAAGTCGAGCGATTGCATGAGGTCGTCCTCGATGAGCTTCTTGAGGCTCTCCACCGAGTAGAGGTTGGCCAGCACCAGGAGGTCGAGCCGGTCCTCGTCGTTCTCGAGCTCCATCTCGTCCGTGTAGAGGTACTTCATCAGCGACGTGAAGATCGCGTAGCGGATCGCGCTGCTCGTCACCGCATCGACGGCGTCGAACGAACCCCTCCCGCGCGCGAACTCGCCCTCGACCGCCATGTCGTCGCCGAGGCCCTCGTCGTCCGAGGGGTTGATGACGATCTCCTCCTGCGACGTCTCCTTGAGACCGCCCAGCAGCAGGGCCTTGAAGTAGGGGCTGCGGCCGCACACGACCACCTTGTGCCCGTAGACGCGCTGCGCAGTGGGCGCAGTCGCGGGCGAATCCGCGTCCCGCTCCTTTCCCTTCAAGTGGCCGCCGAACAACTCCTCCTCCTCCTCGCGCTCGGATCTCGTTCGCTCCCGCACGAGGAATCGGACATCGGAGAATCGCGGGTTGTTGAAGGCCCATCTGCGCTCGAGCACACAGCCAACGTGCCGGCCACGGGGTCAATTTACTGCTGCGACGACAACTCGTACGAGTCGGCGCGTTGTCGGGGCGAGCCTGGGCCGTACCTGAGATTTTTGTACAGAGACGAAGGCGTCTTGAGTCGCGTGAGGATCAAGTACTCGGACATCCTGTGAGCGTGGTGTACAGAGGCCGAGAGTCAACCAACAATCGCGGACACGACCAGCGACACGACACGCACATAACACGCAACTCAATACGCGACACGACACGACACGCAACACGACACGCAACGCGCACCGTTCAATGTGCTCCTTGCCGTATTTCTCGGTGACCGCGAGCAGGGCGCCGATCATCTCCGTCGTCGCGTCCGCTATGTCCGTGTACAAAAAGTGGATCTGATCAACCACGACGTGCAGCGAAGGGATCGCGAAGGCGCGAGAATGAGTGAGTTGGGCGAGGGGGGAAAGACGACAACGACGATGATGATGGTGCTGATGATGATAATGATGATGCGTACAAAGGCCAGGAAGACACTGTAGTCGGTGACGTCGGTCAGCACCACTTCGCTCTTGTCCTCCCACGCGCCTCTTTGTTCCTCTTCGCAGGCCATAGCGTCTGCACGCACGCATGGTAAATATTTGGTTTAGTGTAAACAAAAGATAATGACGATGATGATGACGATGACGAGGGTGACGATGATGAGGCTCAATGAGCAAGCGTACCTTCGCCTGTGGTCAGCATCGATCGTAAGTAGCTCGACCGGGAAGCGAGGATCACCTTGTGTGCGTAGATCGGTTTGCCCTGCGAGGCAAGATCAAAGACAGAAGAAGAAGAAAAAGAAAAAGAAAAGAGGTGAGCACCCTTTAGTCGACTGGTCAAGACACCTGCCATGGAGAGACCACATACCGCGACCCAGAACGTGATATCGTGAAAGTCGGGCTGGTTGCAGGCCGAAAGCAACTCCTCCGATTCTTCTGACTCTGTGTGCAAATCAATCGTGAGCGAAACAGAGAATGCGAAAAGGTGTGCGCCTCGCTGTGTGATGTGTGTTGTGTGTGTGTGTGTGTGTGTGTGTTGGAAGCGTACGAAGGTCGAGACAATCGAGATCCTCCATGTAGCCACGGCCGTTCCACCCGGCAAAGAAGTACAGCTGCTGCCGTCCATCGACGTTCAATGCGGCCGCCGTGTGGTGGTTGCGCGGCCTCGGCACGGTCCCGGACACATGCGGCTTGTACCACGCGAGCCGCTCCGTATCGAACACGTGCATGTCGTTGTGCTGACGTCTGCCGTCCCAGCCACCGAACACGTACAGCCTAGTGGCGTGTGTGGCGTGTGTGGCGTGTGTGGCATGTGTGGCGTGAATACACGAAACCAGATTGCTTGGGACGTTGTATGAGATCGTACCGCTTATCTACAGGGGTGACCGTTGCGTTCTGCCTCGCGGTGGGCGGACGACCGTACACTTGCGGAGAACTCCACTGCATCCGGCCTGAAAGAGCGAACGACGTGTGCCGCACCCAAGCGATGATTTGTCGTCAGGTGCGGAGCCACGGATAATCGCTGTAGCGCGTGTCGTGTGTGTCGTGTTGCGTGTCAGGCGAGTCGCGCACCGACGTCCAGGATGTGAATGTCATTGAGTAGCTGCTTCTCCGCGGTGACTCCTCCGAATATGTACACCTTGTCGCCCACTACTGCCGAGGCGTGCGCCATGCGCGCGCGCGGCCCATCGCCCTGACCAAACGAACCACACACACAAGGCATTGACCGTTAAGCCCCTTGAAGAGAGTCAACCACCCAACAAGCTCCACTAAAGGCGTTGGCGCGCGCACCTCAATCTTGGCGGTCACGTTCTCCCACTCCCACGTCGCCAGATCCAAGAAATAAACAAAGTTCACGCACCGGCTGGCAGATCTGTGGCGGTGACGGCAGCAGCGAAAACGAGTGTGGTTAACCATGACAGTAAGCTAAATGGGCAGACTCTCTGCGCCATCGTAATACAAGGGTTGTTGATGGGGGAAGGAACGGAGAAGGGTACCTGCCGCCAAATACGACCAGCTTGTTCATGCAAATGCTCACTGAGACATCGCGATAGCGAGGCAATGGCCCCTTGGTCGCCATCTCGCTCCAGACCATCGTGTCTGTGACAACACACACACACCGCACGCACGCACGCACACACACACACACACACACACACAGAGAGAGAGAGAGAGCGCGGTTCAGTTGACTGCCCACTCGCGCTCGACGACGATGGTTGGTGGGGGTGGACTTACCAGTATCGAGGACGTGAACGTCGTCAAAGAAGTCGACCGGACTGTAGCCCCCGAAGAGGAGCAGCTTGGAGCCGAAGGGCAGAAGATGCGAAGCGGACCTTCCCTCGGGCTCCTGGCCCCGCGGGTTCAGCGCGGTCCACTCCACGACCTCTGTGTTCCGCGAAGCGAAAGCGAAAGCGAAAAGTTGTGAGCACCCTTGCATAGTGGGGGGGGGAGTCAAAAAAAGACGGTTGGTCGGTACCGGCTTCAAAGTTGAACTTGAAGGGCTTCTTGCCCAAGTTGAAGACGACCTTCTCGGCGCTGCTGTGGAGACCCACCGAGGGGAACAGCTCTTTGCCCTGCGCGTTGCTGTAGCCCACGCCCAGGAACTTACCATTCTTCGTGAAGAACACCTCTCCCGTCTCGTAAATGAGGCCACAGCCCACCGTGTCGCCCGTGCCGAATCGTGGACCGAATGGAATTCCTGAAAGGCGCGGTTTGCAAATGGACAAATATTAATGTTGTTTAGGACTAGTAAGTACCTGATCCCTGGTTGTGGTAGGCCATGCCGTCGTCGCCGTGATAGCCATACGAGTGTTTGACCCAGCCCTGGCAGCAGTTGAAGGGAAGAGAAGAACAAACAACGTCTGTCAGCACAACAGTGCCAACTGCCAAGATGAGGCCGAGAGAGAGAGAGAGGAAGGGGGGGATGCGCACTGGCTGCTTGTTGAGCGGATAGTTGACGTCGGTGAGACCCACCGCTATGTACCTGATATATTGTTAAAAAAAACAATATGAGACAGAGATATATCAAGTTAGTCAGTGTTCGGCTCTTGGGAGTTTGTGCGGGGTACGAGTACCCTTTCAGGCCCTGGTCGAGGACGGTAATCTCAAAGTAGAACAGGGTCTCGTCGCCGATTCGCCTGATCGGGGTCGACGTCTTCACCACGGCCGGCTTCGAGGGAGACAGCACCGAGGCATCCACCACGTACTCCACTGTCAGGCCATCCTCGGCGACCACCAGATTCTCGCCTGCGCGCGATCAGGCACACAAGTACAATGGAGGCACAGGCCTGTGATGAGTCCAGAGCCAGAATTGAGTCCCCTTGAGCGAGACAGACGAACCGATTCGGCGTAGGTCGAGTGCGTAGGAGTGGTCGCGTCTGTCTTCAGCAGTGGCGATGGTGCCGAGCGATTGCAGTTCTCCCTCTTTTTTTTGTTTTTTGGAATAAAAAACGAGAATGTGACGTCAGCACTAACGAGCAAGATGAAGACAAACGCGCCTCGTTCGGTAAGGGCACCTGCTTTGAGTACGTAGAGGTCGCTCATGTGCAAGGCCATCGGTTCATCGCCTTCCTGTGGGGTGATCTCGTATCCTTCCTGCTGTGGTGATATACCATACCTGCGTGTTCCCACGTTGGTAAGCACTTGCAAGTGACTGACAGGAACGAACACATCGAAAGTATGATGGAGCGCACCCGCCGAACATGTAGATCGAAGACCCGAGCGCCGTCATCGCATGGTCGTACCTAAATAATAGAGTAGTGCAGAGGCAGAGGTGAGTTGACCAGTTGCGCGCGATGGCTGTAGCTCGCCTCTCTACTCACCGCATGGTGGGCCGCTCACGACCTCCCCACGGCCGTCGCCATTGCATGGTCTCTGCACAGACGAAAAACGTGAGCCGTCATAAACCGGAGCCGCAAGCCGCTGAATCGGTTGGCCCAACGAGATGTACGTACGCTTTCCTGTTTGTGTCTTGATCTGCGCTCCCCTGCGCCACAACAGCACAGCACACTCGCCGTGTCCGTAGTCGTCCGCCCAATCGAAAGGGGTGTTGCCCTCCATGTCCTGCGCATTCACCTCGGCGCCATCCTGCGCGATGTGGCGTCGTTGCGGCCAGCCGGTCAGCACCAACAACCATACGTGGCTCCACGAGAGCTGAAGGGATTTGGCAGGCAAGTACTTACCTCCAACATCACCTGCAGGCAGTCATAGTGGCCAGTGCGGGCAGCAAGGTGGAGGGGAATTTGGTTGTACGGATCGACGCTATTAACATCAGCACTCGCCTTGATCAGTATCTGTATGTGGTATGTGTACATTCAAGCCATGTTAGGGAATAATGACACTAGTGCAGTTTCTTGGGCCGGAAGGGGGGACATGCCTTACAGCACTCGACGTAGCCGTTTCGGGCGGCCAGGTGCAAGGGGGTGGTCGCGTTCTTGTTCTTCATGTTGACGTCTGCGCCAGCTTGAATCAAAGCCTCGCACACGCCGTGATGACCACACATCTGCCGATAGTGTCACAATGTTCAATATTTGTGAGCAGGATGGAAGAAGTCAACACTCACATCAGTCATCAGGGTGTGGCGTACTGCAGCGAAGTGGAGCGGTGCTGACTCGATGTCGTTAGGCACGTTGGGCTGGGCGCCGTGCTTCACCAGCAACTCAACGGTGGCTTTCTGACCGTGATACGACGCTTGATGGATTGGCCTGCACATAATGTGACAAAGTGAGTCCCGCGTCACCTGCACGTAGTGCCCAACGACGGCTAAAGCCACAAGTAGCTAGTGTACGTGTTGCCGTTCTCATCACGAGTGTTCAGGTTGGCCCCTCGTGCCAAGAGCAACTCGATAACCTTGTTGAACCCACGCTGCGTGTAGATGAAGAGCGTAAGATACTCTGCACCTTCTTGGTGAAGAGATTTGCACAATAAAGATGAAGAGAACCTTGGCAGCAAGGGCAAGAGGGGTCTTGTGTTTGGCATCCTCTGAATCCACCTGGGAAAGAAGACAATTGATCAAAATCTCTGAGGCGGTTGTAAAGATCTGAATATGATGTAAAATTTGTAGTGCGGAAGCGTACAGTTTGGACGATGGTGAGGAGCAGAGTGACGCAGGCTGCATTGCCGTTGAGGCAGCCAAAGTGGAGGGGCGTGCGGCCCTTCTTGCCGATGATGGAAGATGGATCTTTGCCAAAGTTGCGCAGAAGTATGGCGAGCTCCTGCACATCTCCCTGCACGACCGCCTGGAGAATCTGCTGGTCCACTGAATCGCTCAGGCCCAACACAGCACCTTCTGCCATCTCCTCGGATGATGTTCGCAAGGCTTGGAGTTCCTTTTTGTTTATTTCTATTTCATTTTTTCATTTATTAATAATAAATATTTAACGCCAGCCGCGGTGGTGCAACACGGCGAGATTTAGACGATTTGCCACACGAAGCTTGAATGGAGGAGCAACAACTGCATGAATTGGATAGTCGCCTACAACACTTTCTGCCTCTGATCGGGTTGGTCGATGAAGGACAGGTTGCAGACACAAATTCCTCAACACACAACCTAGAGATTGACTTCATCAAATCTCTGCTGCGAGATTTTCGAGTAGAATTCATCTCCCCGCTGCTCCCAGATCCTGGCCTTCGCTTTCGCTTCCTCGCCAAGGTAGTTGTTGTGACTACTAGAGTTTTTATTTCTTTTCATTTTCATTTTAATTGCTTAATTATTTGCAGGATGGAATCGGGAGTCTGAACAGGGGAGCGGCTGTGGAGACCCTCTTCGACGTACTCTCCGGGCTCACCCTCAAGTGCGTCTGCTGCCTTCTCTTTGCAAAGCTCGGGCCGAGGTCTGAGATGTGGTGTGTGGCCATTAGAGTGTTTGACCGTGACCTGCGCGAGAGCGCCACCACCCACTTCGTGTTCGATCTGGCAGTCCCAGGTACTACATCACACACACGGTGCACGACACGACCAACGCTCCCGTTGTTGTTCACCGATCCTCTTTCTCTCTTCTCAGTTCGACCCGACACGCAGTTGGTTGTGGACGTGATGGTGATGAAGATCACGCCCGCCGTCGCCTTCACCGAGTTGACCCTCCTCGCCGACGCACAACTGGTAGCCAAGGGAACGCACACCAAGCTCTTCCTCTCCTTCGCCGCCGAGTCATCATCGCCAACACCACCACCGCCAATGCGCCCAGACCCTGCGTCACTGCCACCACCACCACCACAGCCGATGGTGACACGTCATCATCAACTCCACCACCATCGCCATCACCAAGGCGGCTACGGCGGCCCTGCGCCACCACCATCACTCACCCATGCGCACCACCATCAACAACGGCCGACCGTTGGTGCGGGCTTGGAGAGGGACGGCAGCGTGCATGTCCTGATCGAGAGCGTGGGCCAGCCACCATCCCGCGCGAGCGGCCAGCCCACGCAACAACGACACATCAAGCGCAGCGTGATGGCCTCGAGCGGGCGTGGCCGCGCCGATCCCCTCGCCTCCTCGCGTTTCTAGCGCTAGCTACCACCTTCAAGCCAGGTTTACGCTACCCGGTGCCGCCTGGCCAGATCGGGCAGGAGGCCGGCGAAGGCGCGCTGGAGCCTCGAACTGGCGGAACTGGCGCACAATCAGGCGAACGATGGGCGGGTCTCCGATCCCACCATCCACGTCTTGCGTGGGGCAGGATTCCATTTCACGTCGTTGCTGTGCCGCAAGAGAGAAACAAAAGGAAAAGGAATTTTGTCCCGATATTTATGGATAAAATAAAAGGAAATGCAACAAGAGCAGCAGCTGGTGGGTGAGGAGGAAGAGGTGGGAGAAGAACTGGTGGGGCAGCCGGGTGAAGTGGTGGAGGCCATCCTCCTGTTCTTGCAGCTGCGCGACCTTGCAAACCTCAGCCTCACCTGCCGCCACCTCCATGCCCTTGTCTTCGACAATAGGTTTAAACCTCTTCTCCCCTTGACAAAGAAGATAACCCCACCCCACCCAACACAAAGAATAGGAATAAATAAGATGAATAAATAAATAAATGAATAAAAAAGAATAATTAACTGATGTAACATATAACATGTCGTCCAGCCTGTGGCAGAAGCGCTACGCGATGTCTTGGGGCAGACCTGTTGGCGGCGCCAGCCTTCCCCGCACCGCCGACGCGTCACACGAAGCGGAAGCCGCATCGCAGGTACCCTTGGAGCCAAAGCATGCAGTAGGACACTACACTTTATAGCTAAACGCGGCCGCGGCCGTGCGTTAGGCGTTGGACTGGCGGAGGCTCTACGTGGCCAAGGCGGCGCTCGAGCGACGGTGGCGCGCGGGGCAGTGCAAAGTGACGAGCTTACCGCACAACGGCGTCTCCGTCGTTCAGCTGTGGAGAGGTATATATATACCCCGTTCTACGCGTCTTGCTGGTGCTGCCCTTGGGCCTGTGTGGGCTTACTGTGGCGCTGCAGGGGCTGCGAGGGAGCCCGGCCTCGGCTCAATCGGCTCGCCGGCCGCGGAGCCTCAGCTCTCATGGGAATGGGAGTTTGTGAGCGGCGACAGCAAAGGATTTCTCAGGTACAACGCAGGCGCGTGTGTGCGTGTGTGCGTGTGTGTGTGTGCGTGTGCGTGTGCGTATGTGTACGTGTGTGATGTGTGTGTGTGCGTGTGCGTGCGTGCGTTCGTCCAAGATTACACTCTTACCTCATTTTGCAGAGTGTGGGACGGCTCCGCTTTCACCCCGACCAAGTCGCTCCAGCTGCATCACACTCAGATCTGGTACGTGCCACCCCATACTTACGACCAGCCGCCCGCCGGCTTCTCGTTCGACCGTGGTAGGCTGACCCTCGTGTCCCATTCGCACCAGGTGGCTGGAGGTGAAGGACGATCTCTGCGTGAGCATTTCGGCCGACGGCAAGGTCAAGGGTACAGCCTTTCCTTCGGCAGCGCATAGACCGACAGCTATGTCCCACATGCTCACATTACCTGCGATGATCTGCGTGCCACGTCTCTTGTCGTGTGCGTGTGCGGTTGTGCGGTGGTGCGTGTGCGTGCGCGTGCGGTGGTGCGTGTGCGTGCGTGTGCGGTTGTGCGATGGTGCGTGGGCGTGTAGTGACTGACCTGGAAAAGTTGGAGGGGATTCGCGATTTGGAGGGCCACGAGGGCAACGCAGTCTGGTACGCACCAGTGATTGACACGGCACACCTTGCTCAGAGAAAAACTCTGAACCTCGGCGCGTTGACGCAGGGGCGTGGACTTCCATGTGGAACACGACGTCGTCATCAGCGGCGACCAACGGGGTTTGTTCATCGTGCACCGGCTCTCCACCGGCGAGCAGCTTTGTACGCTCCTGCTCATCGCTCAACTTTCTATTTTGATTTGATTTTGATTTTGATTTTGATTTGTTTGACGCCACACAGTCTCGCACAGCTTCCCCTGGGGCGTCATCGACTGCCGGTACATAGCCTCGCTCCGGCGGTGCGTCGTGTCTCTTCCGGGACCCGACATCCACGTGATCGATCTCGCCACCGTACAGGCCACACTGCTCTGTGCCACATACAACACAATCACATCACGCCAAGTCTTAATCAGAACTCACATCGCTCTGTTATGGCGAACCACAGGAAGAGGTGACTAAGTGGAAAGGCCACGAGGGAGGCACCATCATGTGTCTCCGCCTGCATGACGATTTGCTGGTGCGTGGACATATCACGAGATTTTCTGCATATTTACCATATATAATTTTTTCAAAGTATGTAAGAATGTGCAATATATCACTCAATGCCACCACAACGTAGCTCTCGGGCTGCGAGGACAAGACGGTGCGTATATGGGATGTGAAGACGGGCGAGTGCGTGCGCGTGTTCGAGACGCAGGGCACGACCTACGACGTGCGCCTGTGCGACGACAAGCTGGTGGCCGCCGTCACCAACCGCTCCGGCGAATCGCTCCTCCGCGTTTGGCATTTCGCCACCGGCGAGCTCTGGTAACGCTCCCCCTCCGACCACCCCAACCGACGCTGGAATGCAACGTTGGCTCACCCCCGGCGGGCGGGAATCAGCTGCGACATTCCGCTCCACCAGCGCACGAATCGGACCTACTCGCTCACTGTGCTGCCCGACCGCGTGTACGCGTGCTTGCAGTCTTCGGTTGAGGTCGTGGACTTTACGCAACCAGGTAACGCACACGACACACGACACACACGACACACGCACACACGACACACGCACACTCCCCTAACGGACCTTCCACGCCTCAGGCGAGAAGAAGAGGTCCAAGAGCTCTGCGCCGACGACAAAGCCCGGCAAGTGTTCCCTACAGTAGTCCCTATTCACTGTGCGCGTGTGTCGCGCAGCTAGTTCGAATTCTCTTGTCTACATTTAATGCTGTAAAAATTCCAATTGGCGGAAAATGGAAACATACTTTCCACCTATCGAATAGTTTTTATGAATCCTAGGATTTGTCTCGGCGAAACAAACGACGCGCCGACAGCCGTGTGGGGTCAAGCTAAAAGCCCACACCCAGCCCCCCAGCCCAGAACCAATTCAATTCACAACTGACTTACCAACACAGCAACAACAAATACGAGGCATGTCTCAGCTTCCTGCGTCCACCAAGGCCATCACGCTCGCACACTACCCCAAGGGCCTGCCCACGCTCGACACCTTCCACACCGTCGAACTGCCGCTCCCCGCCGAGCTCCAGCCCGGCGAGGTACTCACCACTGCCCAACCCCAACCAACCCCAACAAAAACACGTCTCTCCACCCTTAAGTATCGCTTACACCACACAACACGTTTGGGCTCCAAGGTGGCGCTGCGAGCCGAGTGGTTGTCGGTTGACCCGTACCTGCGCGGTCGCATGCGCGAGGGGGCCAAGAGCTACGTCCCCCCGTTCGAGCTCAACAAGCCCATCGTGTCAGGCATCGTGGCCCGCGTGATCGCCTCCAAGGACGACAACTTCAAGGTGGGCGACCGTGCCATCAGTACGTGACCGCACACGCACGCCCGCACACGCACACGCACAATCACACGGTTCTGGTGCGGATCAGTTGGCTGACTTGATGTGTTGCCCTGTGATGACGACAGGCCTGCTGCCGTGGCAAGACTACATCGTGATCAACCCGTCGACCCACCCGGCTGGTCCTCCCTTCAGCCTGCAGAAGCTCGACAAGTTCCCCCCGGGCGTGTCATTCAGCAATGCCGTCGGCGCTCTGGGCATGCCCGGCCTCACAGCCTACTTCGGCCTTCTCGGTACACACGACCGCACACGACCGCACACGACCGCACACGACCGCACACGACCGCACACGACCGCACACGACCGCACACGACACACACGACACACGACATACGCACACGACACACGCCCTCTTACACATGGCATGCTTGCGTTCGTACATAGACATTGGTGACCCGAAGGAGGGCGAGACGGTGTTCGTGAGCGGTGCTGCTGGTGCCGTGGGTTCGCTCGTGGGCCAAATCGCCAAGCTCAAGGGTACGCACGCCACCGCACCTGCGTGAGCCGTCCTCTGTGTTGACGATGGGTCGAGGCTCGCGCTCACGACGACGTTTTGCTTATGGTCTGCCAGGCTGCCGAGTGGTGGGTAGCGCGGGTGATGATGAAAAGGTGGCGTGGCTCAAGGAGGAGCTGGGCTTCGACGACGCTTTCAACTACAAGACCGTCGGCGATCTCAACGAGGCCGTCGCCAAGGCATGCCCCAAGGGTACGCACACACATCATCGCAACCCATCGATGATCTTTCAAGCTACTGTTCACATCACTCACATCGCTCACTCTATCGACTTCACATCATCGTCGTCATCATTGCAGGAGTGGATGTGTACTTTGACAACGTGGGCGGCGCCATCAGCGATGCGGTGACGCTGCAGATCAACCCCTATGGCCGCATCTCCGTGTGCGGTCAGATCTCGGCCTACAACGAGGACGGCTCGAACCCCACGGCCACCACCGGCCCGCGGCACGACTGGATCCTGCTCACGCGGAATGTCAAGAAGGAGGGCTTCATCGTAGGCCGACCAGCGTGGGCCAAGCGCTACCCGGAGGCGCTGGCCCAGCTGGCGGGCTGGGTGGCCAGCGGGCAGATCAAGGTGCGCGAGACCGTCGTCGAGGGCCTCGAGAGCGCGCCCAAGGCCTTCTTGAACCTGTTCGATGGCTCGAACACCGGCAAGATGGTGGTCAAGGTCGCCGCCGACGCTCAGTGAACCCAGTTCCGCCACACACGCATATAAATGGGCAACAACATTGCGATTGGCCAAACATGTTCCATTACGCGGACATGTACATCTTATTTTGGTGTGTTTGCATTAAACTCCGGACTATTTATTTCATCATCCAAACACACGCCATTGCCCATGACAAAAAAAGATGGACGAAGAGGAGCAGAGCGAAAGAGGAGGCGTTGTGGAGGCGACGAAGCAGACAATGATGTCGTCGTCCTCTTCGTCGTCGTCGGAACAGGAGCCCGAGGAACTGCTAGACCCCATCACCCTCACCCTCCTCGTACCCCCCTCCCTCCCACCACTTCGTTTTCGTTAGTAGACTTCAATATAAGTTATAAACATATCAATCTGGGACAGGAAGAGGCAGTCGTAGGTCCGTGCGGTCACAGCTTCAGGTTTGATCACAGTGCCCACTTCCCATCATGACCGCTACTTCTCGAGTGAACACGGCTCATCATCATCAACACCACCACCATCACCACCACCAGCAAGATAACGATAACCAGGTGGCTCAAGACTGCGCCCCGCGCCGCGTGCCCGGTCTGCAAGAGCGCACTCGCAGTCCACCAGCTGGCGCCCAACTGGGGCCTGCGCAACGCGGTCGAGCGGTACTGCCACCGCCCAACTCTCGCGCGCTTTCCAGTGCGGTGGGTGACGCGTGGGTGGGTGGGCGGTTGGCAGGTACGAGACCAAGCACGGCAAGCGCAAGGCCAAGAACGAAAACGAAAACGAAAACGACGAGAAACCGTCTGCGCCGATTCTAGATCATCTGCCGGACGATGACGACCATGACGACACTGCCAAGCCGACAGCCACTGCCGATGGTGCGGTTGCACAGCAACAACAGCAAACGGCGGAGGAAGAGGATTGGTCGTTTTTGTGCATCGACGTGCCGGGGTCCAATCACAGCTGCTGCGCCTGGGCGTGCACGGACTGCGGCCTGTGCCACACCGCCCGGGGGTGCGGCGGGGACAACGCCATAGCCTTTCCCCTCACCACGCTCCTATGCTGCCTCTCGTTCGGCCGATGTAGTTCCTGGTACTCGCGTTCGCTCTGCGGTACACACCCTCTTTACCGTGTGCGTGTGCGTGTGCGTCTGCGGTGGCATGTGTGCGGTGTGTGCGGTGGCATGTGTGCGGTGTGTGCGGTGGTGTGAGTACGGTTGTCTGACCGGGATTACGGTGTGGATAGGATTGGTGTTTCCGGTGTTCGTGGGGCTGCTGCTTCTTTTCATGCTGGTCGACCTGGTCTACATCCTCATCGCCTTCACCGTTCTGGGCCTCTTTCTCCTCCTGGCTATGTTGGTCGTCGCGCCCTGCTACTTCTTGTGTCTCAAACAGACTACCACAACGGAGGACACCACAACGCCAGAACCACCGGCGCCAGAGAGTTGACAGAAAATGGGTACATCCACAGATAGACATGGCAGCTGCTACCATAGATGTGAACACCACTATTGACTCTGATCACACTCCCATCACATTGTCCATCCCACTCTGTGGAGAGGTGGAGTGCAGTGCTGCAATAACATACAAGTCCACTACACAAGCCTTTGCCTCACACAAGTTACAGCAGGAGAGAACTGCATCGCACATAAAACACAAAGAACATGGAAGGCATATATTGTTAACATTTTACGATGTATACATCGAACTTGCTGGTACTCGGCTAGATTCGGCGGTAGGACAGGAGGTAGGCATGCGGCGAGCGCACCCTGGAAGCATCGGAGGCCAGACACACCGTGTCGTTGAAATACCACCTTGAACATATATAAGGATCAGCAACATGTTGATCTATTCTATTGATTGGGGAAAGACAGAAGAGGGGGGGGTACCAGCGATCGCCAGCGTCCCTCGTATGTGCGGTGTAGTGCGCCACGCCCGTCTCTTCCGAGTGGTTCTGCGCGGTAGAAGGTCAACCACCACCGCTTCAAAGAAACGAAGAAAAACGAATAAGAACGAGGAGGAGAAAAAGAGAGGAGGCCGTACCACGACGGCGTAGAGTTGATAGTGAGGGCCACTGGCGGCCTGTTCGTGACTCCTCTCGTACTCGGAGAGGTCCCACTCGAGCGGGAAGTCCACAAACATGTCCAACTTGTCCCTCCACGATCGCATCACCGGCGGGAATCGCTGCGTGTGCGGAGTGTGCGGTGTGTGCGGAGTGTGCGGTGTGTGCGGTCGATGTAATTCCAGACCGATGGGAAGTGAGAGACGTCAAATACAAGGAGTACCTTGAGATGAACGACCAGATATTCGGGGAATCTCCACACCTGGGTTTGTGTGGCCGCTGGCTGCTTGGCGTCACATTGCGGGCAGTGCCACATGTTGTCTTCCCCTATGACGACGACGACGACAAGAACGAAGAAGAGAGTCATCACGAGAAGAAAAAGAACGAAGACCAAGAGGAGAAGGCGGAAAAGAAAGAGAGTGAACATGACGAAGACGATGAGGAAAAGGAGAAGGATGAGAAACATGAGCGGTGGCAGCCAACACGAGCCAAAGTAACGTAGGGTTGGATTGGCGAAGAACCCGCGCACGTACCAAGTAGTTCTTCCCTGGTGTAGGACTGCAGGCAATCGCCGAGCGCGATCTTCTCCTCCTCTCTGCTCACCTCGAGGCTGGCTTCGTGTTCGCTCGGCGCCTGCGCTTTGCCCAAAGCAAGGTTAATTCAACATTGTGCACGCACGCACGCACCACAGCACACGCACCATCGCACACGCACACGCACGCACCACAGCACATGCACATGCACGCACCACAGCACACGCACACGCACCTGGTTGAGTGCCGCAAGCACTGGGTGGAGCTCCTCGGGACCCGCGGGAATGTCCCAGTCGACGGCGATGGCGCACCGCGCATTGAGCTCCAGCGGCTCGCCGTCGTCCGGCACCCGGCATCCGGCGCACTTCTTCGCCGCCGGACAGTTGCCGCACGCCGTGCCCTGCTTGTTCACCACCCGTAACACGTACGGCCGGCCCGTGGGCGCGGGCGCGGGCGCAGCTGCGGCGGTGAAGGGGTCGACGAGCCGGGCCAGGCCAGCGCCCAGCTGCGCGTTGGTGACCTCCTTGGCGCCGGCAAACGAGTAGACGAAGGGGCACCCGGTGAGGCTCGGCACCGGCGCGCGCTGTGGCTGGGGGGCCGCTTCGCCATCGGTGGTGGTGGTGGTCACCACGCGGTGCAGGACCTGCACGTCGGCCGGCAGTTGCGGCTTCTGGTGCGGCGGCCGGGGTCCGGCAGCACCTGGCGGCCCACCTGGCGGCCCGGGCGGCGGAGGTCCTCCGGGCGGTGGTGGAGGTGCTGCGGCGGACGGAGCCGGAGGCGCCGGCGGACCTGACGGCGGGGGTGGAGGCGGTCCGGCGGCGGGTGGTGCGGGCGGAGGTCCGCCCAGGGCGCCGACGGGCGAGGGTGCGAGGGCCGTCGGCTGTGGTGCGACCTCGAAGCTTTGATTAAAAAAGAAAAAAAGATGAAAAATGAATGAGTGGCCGTGCGTGCATGTGGTCGTTGAGCGGGAATGGGAGGAATGCGTACGCGTAGAGTACATCGGATTCCGCAAGTTCCTGAAGGGGCTTGGCGGCGGGCAGCACATTCCAGATTCTGTGCGCACGGACTTCGGCCACCTGGAGGGTCGCCGGCGGGAGGCCGCAAACGGCGGACAGCTCCCGCACGAGATCGGCCACCGTCCCAGCCTTGACCACCTGATCTCACCCATATTATAATAAAGTATTAATAAAATAATAAAATAAAATAACCTTATATAAAATTGATAAATGCATATTCAATAAAAATGAAGAAAAGTGCACCTTCACTCCGTAGAGCGTAGCAGTCCCAGCGACTCCCCTGCTCAGCGTCGGCACCACGACGACCTCGAACGACCTATGTAGAGGACCGACGCGCCATCAGCTCAGGGCCTCGTAGTGGTCTCCATTAGACTGTGGTGAAGGTGGAGTGGCCACCTCTGGTATTTCGAGGGGACGGGCAGCGAGAGGAACACGAAGGGCTCGAATCGGTGGCTCTCCCTCTGGCACTGGCGGCACCGGAGGGCGCTGTCCAGCTGCCCGTGGAAGAGGTCCACCACGCGGCTGTCGTGCCGCGCCTTGTGCACCGCCCACTCCCTCCGCGCAGCCGCGCCCAAGTCTGCAGGCCCACTCTCTGCTGAAAAAAATGATGAACTTGATGTGCGTGTGTTGTGTGTGCGGTGTGTGCGTATGTGTGCGGTGTGTGCGGTGTGGTACACGCACCAACATCGGTGGCCTCGGACTGGGCGGGGTGCTTCTTGGCACGGTTGACGTCTTCGTGGAGGCCGTCGAGCAGGTAGGCCATGAACTCCTGCGCGTCCTGCTGCGCCTGGCCCACGAACTGCGGGGCAAACTGCTCCACACACGCCTTGAAACTCTGTGCCGCGTTCATGTGTGTGCGGTCGTGCGTATGCGCGTGTCGTGCGGTTGAGCGTGAGGTGTGAACGGTAGTAGACCACAACAATGCTGAGGAGGAAAGTAGAACCTTGGGATCGACAAAAGATCTCTCCTTCTTCACTTCATCTTCTTGCTCGGTGCTGCCTGGTGGTGCTGCGGTGGTGGGGGCCGCCATGGCACGGAGCAGTTCGACGAAGGACTGGGTGAGCTGACCCCGCGTGCCTAGCGGATTGGCGAGATTGAGCTCGGCCTGGTACGCATTCGTGTGGTAGAAGTCGGCCAACGGTCGCGTGTGGGCCAAGCACTGGAGCACGCAGTTCATGAAGCACGTGTTCCCCAGGTTGGCCAACCCTCGCCCCTGAAGCGCCCCAGACTTAGTCCCATCCATCTCTGCTGAGTCAATTTATTTATTTTTTTTGTTTCGAATTGTTTTTCTTGGTTCCTTTTCTTTCCTGCAAGCGTTTTCTTTTTCTATTGCTTCGAGAAGCCACACGCAGTTGGTAGCGACCCTCAATGCACCATCCACACCAGGTGCCTCTTTTTTCCTCCACCTTATTTGTTAATTGCTTTTATTTTATTTTTAAGCAAAATTTTTGTAAATCAAGGGTGGTAGGCCGCCTGGCTCCGATCGTGCTCTGCTCGTGTGCCTTCAGCAAGAAGGTACCACACCCTCTATGTGATGTACAACAGACCTTCGTCTCACTCTCAAGTAATTACCTTGTGGGCGCAGCACTCAAGCGGTGCAGCAAGGGGCCACCACCTGCCCAACGCCGCTGGTGGCACAACTTTGTGTCCCCAGGCACAGTACGTTGCCTCCCCCTATTGCTTCTGTCTGTGAAGAAGAGCTTGATTGTCGTGTCAGGTCCAGAGCGAAGCGTGGGCGCTCGTCCTGCACTGTGAGCGCCACCTACGCGCACCGCTCGTAGAGGCACTGCTCAAACCGGGTGCTTGTGCTGGCACCGGCAGCCCGGCCGACGGTGCGCCGGGGTCGAGAGACCGCGCCGTCCTGCAGCTCATCTTGACCAGCGCCAAGCAGGGGTCCTATCAGTGCTCTGCGGTTGGCTTCTCCATCCCTCATTCATTCTCTTCTCACACATTGTGTCACAATTGATATTCCCTGACCTGAGCTTCTTCTCCAGGTGGTGCGGTGCGTACTCGCCGGCTTGCTTCAGGAGGACGACGTCGATCTGTCGGCCCACATGGGGAGTCTCTCTCACGCGCTCGACGGCCACAACCCCATGCAACCACTGCGGTCGACGTCACCATCATCATCATCATCATCATCACCTTCCAGCGGAGCAGCAGCCTACGTCAACAAGGTGATACCTCTCGAGACCACGTTCACTCTCAGGTGCGCGTGACTAGTCCCAGCCTTTGAGTCTGCCCCTCCCCCACTCACTCACCTACCTCGGCTTGTGGCCGGCTGCCAGTGTGGGCGTGGCATTTTTCATCTATGCGAAGCTGTTGCTGGCCGAGTTGCGCCTTCACTGCGCCGCCGCCCACAAGGACCCATTCTCCGCTGCGCAGTACTTCAATCCAGGTGCGCTGGGCTATCAGGACTCGTTGCGTGTAGCGTGTGTGGCGTAGGTTTCGTTCACGTTGTCTCACGCGTGTGTCCGCCCTCGCTCTTCTCTGATTGTTTGCGTTGTGCGACCAGACTACTTCGGCTACGCCGCGGCGTTTCTCTTCAACGCTCTGCTGCCGAGGAAAGGCCCGACCGACGACCAACTCCTCAGCCAACTCTCCCGCTTCGTTGCCGAGGTGAGACAATACATAATCTCACTACAGTCACCTACTTACACTCCTAGCGTCGGCGGTGGCAGCACAATCACCACCATGGCGCTAGTTCGTCAAGTGAACCGACGCGGCTCGACGTGGCAGAATTCAACCGGTTCTACGTTCGACATGTGTCTGTGCCATCGCTCTACTTGCCGGGTACGCACCCGCGCGCATGGGGTGGGTACTACGCCAGACCGTGAGACTCACTTCATTCTGTTGTCTTTCACAATTTCAGTCGATCCGCTGGAAGCGCTGGGCAGGTCGATTGGCAGCGCCGTCCTCGAGCGGCTCGACGTCTACTCCCTCATTCGCGCCGGCCAGGTGTGCCGGTACTCAGTGTCTATTCTTGGAGAATCGCACTCGGCCTGGCTCATCGTGTTTCAACGTGTGTCGTGTCGTGTCGTGCCATGTGTGTCGTGGTACAACAGAGCGTGGAGGGAATTGAGTCTGCAGGACCGCTTATGGGCTAATGACTACTACCGCCAGCCGCCACTGCGCCAGACCAGCGCCAGCGCAACCTTGCGCCACTACCAGCCCAGCACCCACCGGGGCCGCGCCTTCCGCGACATCTGCTATTCGATCTACCTCGACAGTACGCCGCCCCAACACACACACACACACACACACACGACACACACACACACACGACACACACACACACACGACACACACACACACACACACACACACAAGCACACACACACA